TTGCTGAGTAACTGCATACACTCGGGCAACTAGAGGTGGGAGAGGTAGAGATGGTTCCTCAACCACAATAGGAGCCGGAGTAGCCTGAATAGTAGAAATCTGTCCCCCATTAAAGGGGCAGTCCCTAATAAAATGCTCAGGTTGGCCACATTTGTAACACAGTCTTTGCTCTTTTCTGCAAATCCCATCATGAACTTTACCACATGTAGCGCATTGAGAAGCATATTTAAAATTTCCAGGCGTAGAATTTCCCGCCTTTTTGAACTTATCATCAGACTGTCTAACCTACAACCCTTTTCCTTTAGAATTCCCAGAAGTGTTTTTAGGAGCAGATTGGTCCTTATGCTTCCTTCTATAGTACTCTTGAATGTTTTTACACTTTTTAACGAGTGCAGCAAAAGTATCAAAGGTGTGTCTTGCAAGTTTTTCAGAAATGTTATCATGTAGTCCTCTATGAAATTTAAACACCAGATCATCCTCAGTAGGTGGAGCTCTCTGGAAATGAGAGTATTTGGCCAGCTTATTAAACTTATTCAGATATTCATCAATAGACATCTGGCCCTGTTTTAGTTCATCAAATTCACCCTTCTTCCTTATCCGGGCCTCCGCCGGAAAATATTTCAGCAAGAATTGCCTTTCAAACAAAGGCCAGGTAATAGCATAACCCTGACACTCCAAGGGCTGACGGGTATTTCTCCACCAATCGGCTGCATCATTCTGCAGCATATAAGAAGCATACAACAATCTGTGCTGATCATCACACTCCATGACAGTAAAAATGCGATCCAACTCCTCTAACCACTGAATTGCGGCAATCGGATCAATGCCTCCTTTGTAATTTGGTGGTGCATGTTTTTGGAAGGCATTAAGCATTCTTTCTCTTTGCTCTCTATTAGTGGCTGGCTGTGCCACACCACCCCTGTGACTAGATTCTTCATTCAAATCATTATTTCCTTCACCCTCTACAACAATGGGATTATGAGGAGGAGGAACAGGCTGTTGTGGTTGAGGCTCAGGTTGTGGTTGTGGCTGTTGAAAAGGTTGTGGCCGTGGACCTTGCCCACCAGCCCTCACCTCAACCAAGAGTAATCTCATCATTTCAATATTCGTCATTCTGCTTGCTGCCATCATTTCTTGATTGGCCAACCTATTAGCCTCTAACAGGTCTTGATTTGCTTTCATCATCACTTCCAGCTCTCGCTGCCTAGCTGCATCCATATTTTGTTGCATCTCAGTTAAGGTCGTTACCATTGGATCTGGCTGTGAAGTATTTCCCCGCTGATTTATCCGGGGTCTAGCCAAATCTGCTAGAATAGGATCTGTCGGGTCACTAGGAGGATCAGGAGTCCTTCTTGGACGAACCATAATTCTGCACATTTTACACAAAGGAATGAGTTAGCTACGCTTACACTCAGTGATCAGACATGCATATCATAGGACTCCAAGCAAAACTCAAAAAGATCATAACCCGAACAATTTATGCATTATTTCATAGGCTCTCCTAGAGAAACTGCTCTGATACCATAAATGTAACATCCCTGTCTCGAGCCGGTTCAATTAACATGCATATGATATAAACAGATACAGCGGAAGACTTAACTTACGAAAATACGAGCTAACTTTTTCTTTTTCTTTTTAAATTCTCATTCGACGTAAACGAAAATCGGACAGAGTTTCCTCTATAAATCGGACAACTGGGGATTTTCCAATCCCACTTAGAATCATTTCCTGATAACAGTTTATACAGCACATCAATCCAGAAGTACCAGTCATACAAATATAATCAGATACCCATCTATGGGCGCATGCAGAAACTGGCTCCGTGCCACTAATCTAACAACATGCAGTCCAATACATAAACATGACTGAATACTACATCATCATATAATGTGCCTGAATACTCAAATGTACATGCATCAAACTGACAGACATGTACAAAACATATACAGGCCATATACAAAATAAAGGATCAATGTCATGATCCATCAAAGGCGGAAATACAAAATGACATGAATATACTTCCAAAAAGTAGTAGCCTACAACCACTCAAAATTCGATCCGTCAACTGCCTCAACCACGTGTCGCGTCCCTGCCTAGTGAGGACTCACCGGGAATCTGGGCACCTGAAAATATGTCCCCAACTAGGGGTGAGATTACAAATCTCAATAAGCTCCAGGTTTATAGAGAATTCTCCATACCCCGGGCTCACTCCTGCATGAAAGTCAGATACAGAGTATACAAATACAACATATAACAGATATCATAACAGAACAGAGCATATATCCCTATTATATCAGAGGTGTGCGCCGCCATTCCCAAGGGAGGACCCCAAGCGGAAATCAACGCACGTGTTCTCGAGGGAGGACCCCAAAGCGGAACCAGACATATCAGAGGCGTACACCATCAGTCCCAAGGGAGGACCCCAAAGCGGACATCTGGGTACTATACAATCAATGGTCAGAGATTGTTACAGAAATCATATTACAGAAGTCATATCAGAGAAAAACATATCATGTTATCAAATAAATCTATATGAATGCATCTATACAAAGCATCTAAATAACAGTCATACAGTCCAACCATAGTTCACTAACCATGGTGGAGCACTCAAGCAGGAAAAGACTCCTTAAACATAGAGCTTACCTCTTGAAGCTTTACCAATACCCTTACTTGTTGCACAAGTCACTTATATATCTTCAAGAGATTCTGATTCCTTTTTAGTCCCTAGGTACACCTAGAGCAAGAATCCACAAATACCAATTAATAAAATGCCATCATGCCTAGTTTTCACATAAGGCATACATTTTATCGCTTCTTTTCAACATAAATCATGTTATTTTTCTTCAAAACTCATCACTTTTATACAATTTATTACAACACATTTTATTTAAAATAAAATGTACAAAATATATCCCTGAGCCACCCTATAGGTCGAATTCCACAATGACAATAGGCAAAAGGGTTCTTTTCTTTTTACTTATTCTTTCTTCACTTAGTTAGTAACTTACACACACATGTATATATTTATATATGAGTTTATCATCTATCATTTAACATGACCACAAAAAGTTTCCTACACACACAACATTTTGTGGGGCCCGCAGCAAAAAAAAAAAAAAAAACTTCTCTATAACATAACACAATCACTTTTCCTACAACATAACTCTTATAAAACCCTTTATATATATACATATCCACAATGTCTAATTAAATTTTAAACATTAAACTCCTCCAATATACATCAAGGTCGAAACATAGGAGCATACCTCATAGGATTTTTTCCCACTTTGGCATTCTCACTAATGCACCAAATTTCCACTTATTCCAACATATTAAACCTTCCCAATACATACAATAAATTTTGTACATCATCCCTTAATTACCCTATCAAGGTCGAAATCTAGGGCATCTCACCATGGGATTTTTTTCCAATTTTATACATGTTCACATGCTTATTCCACCTTCCTAAATCCAACACATCAACAATCCATCATCAATTCAAATTTTAAACTAATTTATATCTCACTCAAAACATGCTCATAAATTCCAAGACATAAATCACAAAAATAAAACTATAGGATTAGAGGTTTCTCACCTATAGTAGCTATTCCAAGCTCTAAAGAACAAACCCCAAGCTTTGCTCACTCAAAAGCCCCACTTTTCTACAAACATGAATAGTGTCACGAATTGGGTTTGATGAATAACTCTCTCCACAAGCCAAATCAGCCCAAATGGAGTGGTGGAATGGATTCACTAGCCTTTTTCCTTAACGATTCATGTATGGCATCATGGCTTTTGGTGAGAATTTGAGTGGAAATGAGAGGAAATAAAAAAAACTAACCTAGGTCCCTTTCTCTATGGAAGCATCAAGCAACAGTGAGAGAGATGGAAAAGAAAGGAAACAGCGCGCAGAAAGAAGGTGAAATAAGGATTTTACGGTGTGTAAAATTTAAGTTACTTTAACTGGGTAAAGGTTTATCTATCTACACACCTCCATTTATTACCAAACTTTACCTAATGGACTAGAATATTTTTCTAGTCATATTTTTAACTTTACTTTCACTTTTCGGGTAACTTTGTTTACCCGCATTTTTATCCCTTAACTGTCATTTTAACTCCTTTTCACTAAGGGTGACTTTATTTCTTTTACTTCTAATTATTCTTCAATATTAAATCCTCAATTACTAGTGAGGGTTATTATAATAGCCAGTCAAAAATTTATTCTTAACTTCATGCACTTAATACGTAACTTTTACAACTGATAAACCAATCTCTAATAAGTAATAATTATTCACAAATGCATTGGTAACTTTGACATATAATGGTCATTCTCTATAAATTAGTTTTATGTAATCCTTCTTAATAATTCAATCATTTTATATCTCTTAAAATTGAATACTCTTTCTTATCGGAAACGCTCCATGACTAAATTTCCCATAAAATTACCTGTAGGTTTTTCAAAAGAATAAGGAAAATATGTGCCTTTTTTTTTATAACTCTGTCCATAAATTTTCACATACCTAAAGATATATAGAAACCCTAACACTCATATTAATTAAATTGAATTCAGATTAATATGATATATAGCTTGAAGATCCATAATGCTTCATATCTTTAATATAGATTAATTATATTATAACAAACCAATTGTTTCTTGCAAAAATTACAATTTTTTAAAATATTATTGTGTGCAACTTTCATATTAAAAGCATTAAATAATACCTCAAATTGAACTTCACCTTTTCTCCACATAGATTCTTTTTAATATTTCAATAATAATTGAATTAAATGAAAACGAATGTGAACATTCTATTAATACTATTGAATACAATTAAATCTTAATCAAATTAATAACATATATATGTGACCAAGTGAAATACAAGTATTTGGATACATCAATCTCCTACGTAATTGGAATCCTAAATTGAGAATTCAATTTGATCCTTCTAAATTAAATCCTTAAGTTAATTAGAAGCTAAAACCAAAATGAAATTAAAAGGTCAAGGGTGAACTATGATGTGGTTAGCCCACATAGTACAAAGAGCCAAAGATATAGTGAGGAAAATGCCTATCTTCTTCAAGACCACATTAAATCCTTTCCCACTTTTGATACCAACAAACCAAATTTTTTCTTGCTCATTCCATATGATTTTCTCATCTGGTTTTCTCATTCTCTTCATGCTATTAGCACTAGAGCACCACTTCTTTTTCACATCCTCTGGACCTTGTTTCATATCTTCTTCCACTTGTTCCTTCAAGTATACACAATGCATCAACAAAAGTGCAAAGATAAATACAAGGGCACTTGCTATAGTGTTTGATGGCTTTACTAGCTTCCCCATCACACAGGCCTTAAACTTGTTAAGGAAAGAGTACCCTTTGTTCTTCATAATAATCAGTGTCTCTGCATTCTCTATAGATTGATTGGTGGCCATTATAGGATTGAGTTGAACTTTGATGGTTTGTGAAGGAACAATTTGGTGAAAGAATGTCTCGGCTACTTGACGAGTTGAAACAAACATTCCATGACTTACTTTTGTTTCCTCAACAACCTCAAAGCTTGTAGAATTTGAATAGTCAATGTTACCATCATCTATAAAGTTCTCATTGGGGTCATCATCATTGATGAACCCCAATGAGAAATCGTCAATGTCAGTATCATTGAGTTCTTTGTTGCTATTGTGTTGCTCAGATTCTGATGCAAATAAAAGCTATTGTTAATTTTGTTTAGGTCAAAAATAAATAAATAAAAGAAGAGAAGGTTACATCTTAGCAATCATGTGTAGAGTAATTTTAATTAACAATACCTTGCACCTCATTCTCTTCCCTGTTTGTTTGGAAACTTGAAATCTCCTCGATTGGAACAATCTTATGCTCTTCCATAAAGCCCTGTCAAATTATGCAAATAATCATATAAGCTCCATCAATATGATATATATATATATATATATATATATATATATATATATATATATATATATATATATATTATGAAATTTGCCAGAATTTAAACTTAAAACACATTTTTTGGGGCTTTATCAAAAGCCAATAATGGACTAATTATAAGATTGATATAAGATCTTAAATATATAAGAAAGAAATATTATGTATAAAGGACACTTTTAAATTAAATATCAGCATTACATTTTCAACATACCTTTCCTAAATCTTTGCTTGACATTCCAACCCATCTTAAATTCTCAACCATCCTCTCTGACTTGAATTCATCACCAAGATCCCCAATCTCTATGGATCTTGTGTTTGGATCTTCCCATGCTTTGTCAACATATCTCATGGAGTTCATATCATAATTTACATTATTGTAATCAGTGCCAACCATAAAAGTAAAATCATTTTCATGAGGAGCATAATTTTCATTTCCACCCATTAATGTCTGTGAATAATTGGATTGATTTATCAATTCCTGGGAAGCTTGAGCAACTGAAAGAATTTCCTGTAGGATATCGGTTTCATTTCTGCTTCCACACATGGAACCCGAGGCTTGTGTCATTTTCAGCTCATGAGAAATACCAACTTGAGGAAAGTCCTCCACCTCCAATGGAGGCATGGAAAACCTATGCTGCATCCTTGCACACTCTAGTGCTATATCAACCTGCAAATCAAATCATCATGTGTATATATGAGGAACAAGACCATATAAAGTGAAAAGATGAAATCTATTTTATAAGGTAAAGTTTAATTAATGTGTACAAGAAACTAGTAGGTACCTTGGATGGAGGGTAAGGTATGGCTCCATAATTGGGAAATGAAGAAGAGGTTGGAAGATTGAGTAAGTCTTCAGATAAGAAATGTGACCACAACCCATTATCCCTTGTCCCACCATTGATATTAACAGAAGTCCCATTATTCATGTTTTGAGTTGAACATGTATCCCATGGCATCAAATAATTTGAACTCTCTAAAACTTCACCTCTTCCTTCAGAGTATAGCTCAATGCTTGATGATTGGTCACTTGTAATCTGATTTGCATGGCTGGTGGTGACATTAACATATTGCTCTCCAACTTTTGGGGGAATCACTGTGCTCTTCTTGAACACACGGCAAAGAGCATATGCATCCTGAAATCATATATTCCAAATAAAATTAAAATGAAAATCTTTTGTTATATAGGGTTAGAAAATACACAGACACCTATTCTTAATCCTAAGTTGAATGGAATGGCACGCAAATTTATGTGTAAACATAGTATCTATTTAAATACATTCAAACGACCCCTTCTTATAATGAGAATATATATAACCCTATTCCGGTCTGATCTGATATGGGATGAACTTATAATTATGGAACCGACTCGATCATCAAATTCCCGAATTCCGAATAAAAATAATGAAAATTCGTATATCTATTCTATTTATTCAACCCCTTTGCTAGGCAGCTATTTGTTAATTTAAATGAATAATTCTAAACTTTTAGAATAATTAGTTTATTAACTAAGACATATATTATATTCAAGCACTAGGAAGAAGAAAGTTAAGGAAATCATCATTTCTCATGCTTTATTATGTTCTATAATTAAAGAAATTAAACACATATGTAGTTAGTAAAAACAAAATTAAACAAAAATAAGAAGCTGATAATTATCTGAACCTGCAAGCCTGAAGCAGTTTCACATTCTCTTTCATCAAGACGGTACTCATGCATAACCCAACCTGTTCTAGATCCATGTGGGGCCCTGCCTCGATAGTAAACTAGGGTTTTCTTCATTCCAACAGCACGAGTCTGGGAGTTAACATTACGATCTTTCCCTGTGGCTTTCCAATATCCAGATTTTGTTGCACGGTTTGTTCTTGATCCATTTGGGTACTTCCTATCTCGAGGGCTAAAGAAATACCACTCCAAATCTTTTCCCGGTAACAATGACTTCCCTGTAACAATTGCTTCAAACTTTAACGTGGTTACCCTATATAGCTTCCTATAAAATAATATCACACCACTAAGAATTTTATTTTTATTTTTATTTTTCTCATTAGTTTTGCTTGGTGAATACTAGAATATTGTTCAGCATATTTCGTGTTTTTCAAAGTCATGCAATTTTTTTATATCAAACTGGTTGAATGATAAAGCAGATGAGTTACAAAAGCAATGGAAATAAGAAAGGTGATGCATATATCATGTAGAGAATGTTATCCTTTTCTTTTGTTGACTGTGTTTTTGACTTGGGGAATCCCACTATTTAATTTCCTCATTACTATCTATGTCTTGACGTTCACAATAGGAACCCTATAGTTGAAGGACCATCCTCCATACAACGTTAAGTACAATCTTAAATCAAATATTTTATGTGAAAGCAGAAAAATATACTTGACCAATAAAGCAAGTATGTGTTTCATAATTGAATAAAAGATCAAAAGGAAGTCATGTCTAAAGAAGTGTGAACCCACTTTTTTAAGATTCTTTTGTTGGGTTTGTTGAGATTACTGTTTGCAAGATAGCCATTAACCAATAATGATTTGCCAATCAAAAGAAGATAGATGAGTGGTGTTTTAAACGTAGGCCTCTTCATGTTATGTTAAAGAGTGTGTCATGAAGATTTTCTTCTAGTAAAACTCAAGTCAACAAATTAATCGTAAAATTTCTATCTTTTTAGCAATCCATATTTAGATATCAATGCATGACATGATTGAAAAACTGCTATATGTGTATGTGTGTGTGTGTGTTTAATTTACCTGGCAAGTCCCATGGTTCACACTTGTAGAGATCAACTTCAGGGATGATCTCCAACTCAATCTTACGGCCATTTATCTTACTTTTGAGGTAATAAGCAACAAGTTCTTCATCTGTGGGGTGGAACCTAAACCCAGGAGGCAATGAAACAGGTGCCATATGTGTATAAATCTCAACCTAATTGACCTAACTATGAACCTCCTTATTTGAACAAATTGAAAACAGAGAGAATACAGAGATATCTATGAGTAGCTAGGTGCCTCGTGACCCCAAAAAAAACTGGTGCACAAAGCCTCAATTCCAAGTGAAGATCACCAATTATATGCAAATTATAACCCTGCCATTTAAAACAACACAAAAGAACCTTATTAGCAAACTTTGACAAACATAAACTTGTCACTATTATAGCAAAACATGATAGTTATAAGAGAAAAGGACCTTAATTAGGTAGGAAGAGGATCCAAAGGCAGAGACTAGAGGGACAAAAACACAGGAAGAAGGTGAGAGAATGTTGGGAGGCAAAGAGGAGGGAGAGGGTGGAATGTTGGGGTTGCTTGGGGTTTTGATAAAGAGGACAAAAAGAGAAGAAGAGAGAGAGAGAAGATTGGAAAAACAAAAAGCAAAGTTGGGGTCTGTGCCACCTCTCTTGTCTTTCTTTTTTTTCTCTTTGTAGTACTTTTCATTTGTTTTTTTGATCATATGGATGATTCCTGTTATCTTTGGCTTGAAGCTTTGAATTTAATGATTATTATTAGTTAAATTTTAATGTTACATTATAACTCTCTTCTCTTCTCTCCAATGATCCCATGCTTCCTACTTGTTCTTTCTTAGATTCTGGTCTGCTCCACATGGCAATCCATGCATATGGTGCATTTCACACCTTTTTTCTTTGGATTAAGAATCTACATTAACGTGAGGAAACTGTAGCCAACGAACTATATATGGCGGCTGTTCCTAACTGAATAAACGACCATTTCACACTTCTTTTTGTTGCCATTGATTCTCTTGAGCTTCTTCGTCCCTTAGTGTTTTTATGTGTTTCTGTTCTCTCCTATTACTTTTTCACGTGGATATATGTAAATATAATGTTTGAATATTGGTAGGAACTCTGGGGTAAAGGTTTTCCTTTCGAATCTCAATTCGTTATGAATCAAAGAATGATTATGATTAATGACTACAGGAACATGTCGAACGTTCATTTTCATATATATGGTTAAACGTTCATAATAAGTGTATGCTTGTATTAATAATATATATGCAAAAGTTCAATGATCAACCTTTACTATACATATGCAAAATCAATAAATATATGTTAGTATTGGTATCTAATTAGACGTGTAGATGAGCTGTAGGTCGACCTACAGGTGCTTATGGCCTAACCTATATCAGGTCAGGCTCGACCTATTAAATATAGTCAAATAAAACAGATCTAGAATTTTATAAAATAAGTCATAGGTTTACTTTTACATGCCGAGCCTACAAGCTTACAAGCTAGCCTATATCATATTTATTTATTTTAATAATTTTGAATAATAAGGTAATATTTTTTAATTATTGAATGTTTAATAGGTTTAAACAGGCTAACAGTCCTAGGTCAATATTTTTATATTTTAAATATAGGTCAAGTCAGACTTATAATTTGAGTTCATAAAAGGCTAATAGATAAAGCTAGACTTAAAATATTTTACACAAATTTAAATAATTTAAGTCAAAAAGCCCCTCCTATAGTTTGAGAGGGGGGAGGGGGGCGATGATTTTACTTAGATTTGGAATATATAACACGGAGGCTAATATCTTATAATTTTTTCATATGTTTAATCTTGAATTTTTCAAAAACTATATATGTATGCATGTATAACCAATGAAATTTTCCACATTGAGTGTACTTACATATAGTAATTGATTAATTTTTTAAAATATAATCAAAAAACTATATATATATATATGTATAAGCAATGAATTTTTCAAAAGAGAAGTGATTTAAAAATAATTAAAAAATTATCACAAATTTGTAATTTATAATTAATTAATTAATTTACCAAATTAATTTGATATTTAATGAAATTAGATCGATATCAGTAAAATATATGAGAAAATATGGTGGAGGAATACATGCGTAATGTGTAGAGGTAGTGTGATCGATGATGATTGAAAACCGATATAGAGTTAATGCAAAGCGGGACCCATGTGGGGCCAGCTTTTGCCACGTGACGCGGCATGGTAGGATCACTTGTTGGTTATCTCATGCTTTTCCTATTGATGCCAAAGTTCCCTAAATATGTCTATCTCATGCTTTCCCTTTCATGAATCCATCTTTTTGTGCTTTTCTCCTTTATGAGTTTATGCTGTCAGCCATTGCTTTTTCTTCTTCATCACCTCTTATTATTATTACTATTAATAATATATGAACCAATATATTAATTGGGCTTATTCTTAGTCCAATTTCCTAGGTTCCATCTTAGAACATGATGATCTCAATAAATCAAAATAATATCTTTTAGAAGGTATTATTACGCACTGACAATTGGCCATTATGACCCATTAATTAAGCATAGTTCACATGTTCAAAAAACTAGCAATATGAAATCTAATAGATCACAGCCAAACCCTAGTTATCGACAAAAAATGAGAAACAACAATTTTTGATTCATTTGAGATCTAATATTTGATATGTTATTTCAATTTTAATTAATTAATTTTTTTATAAATTTTCTTTTTTTAATGAGATAATTACATTATACTTATTTTAACAATTTTTCTTACTTTTTAAATTTTAAATTGATTTGTAATTAATCTATAAAGAGTGTTTTAAGACCTCAGTTTTAAAAATTAAATATTTTGTTATTCTGGTAATTATAATCGAGAAAAGAGGGTTTCTTTTTCTTCAAATCTAGTTTTTCTTTAGCCATTTTTTCTTTCCGATTTTTGGCATCAAAGTACTAGGTTGCCTTCAATCAATAGCGGAGCCAATCTCCCAACTCAACTAGGGCCAAGAAGAATTTAGCTGGTGCCAAACACTAAAATATGAAAAATTCTTTAGCCACAATTTCAAAAATAAGCTAGGGCCAAGGCACCCCCTCAACCCAACGTGGCTCTGCCATGCCTTCAACCAATAGCTAAACTGAATTGTTAATGTCGTCAATAGCAAAATCGTGATGGCAAGGGATGTGGGTTTGTTCCCCAACAAGACGAACAACCACATCAGATAAACTTGCAAGACATAGAAAATTAAGAGCTCAAAAGGTGGATATAGGATTTAGAGAGAAAACTTGTGCAGATAAAGTTAGACATATGAAAATGAAGAAGGGAAGGTCAATCCTTGGGGATTCTAAACCAGGAACGAAATTGAGAGTACGACTTGGAAATTATTTCACTTTTCAAGATATTATGATGCATATCAACATTCTTAAATTTGAAGTATACAATGATAATTTAATTTATGTTGATTATCTAAATCACCCTGATAATTCGATTTATGATAAATCTGATAGAGAATCAGATGATTAAAAATCACAAGAGGAAGATATATGTTGATTGTGTTTGCAACATTAACATAGATGGAGTTATGAGATTGTAGCATCAAACACCACGGTGGAGTAAGTGGGAGTGAAAGAGAAAGACATATAGTTATATCCTTACTCAAGGAATTAGCTGGTGCAATCTCTAATAAGTTGATAATTAGGTTACCGCCTAAAAAGATTAATATTGGTATGACATAGTGATTTGATGGTGAATCTTTTCCTAGTAAAGAAGAATGATACCCTTATAGTTAACTCATTATGCATGACCTAACCAATCAATATATTAATTCAAGAAATTTAATACTCAAACATAATTATGACCTATTAAGCATAAATCACATGTTCAAAGAAGCAACAGTTTGAAATCTAATTGATTACAACCAAATCCTAATTCAAAAATAGAAAGCAACAAATTTGACTTGATTTGATATCTAAGATTTGGGACGTGATTTGAAATTTGAATTATTTGATAATAGGTTAATTTTATTTTAATTAGTCATCCTTATTTAGGCACTTTTACATATGTTTACCCTCTATTATATTGATGGAACACCACCACCGTCACTGACAGACTTACATGGTTGCCCACGCCTGCAAGTGCAGGCACACAAAAAAAATTCTTATTTTCTTTCAGTTTATTCAAATCTATTTTGTTTATTCAGTTTATTGTTATGGATTTGTTTCCACTTTTGGCTTCTTGTTCAACACACGCCTTTCATGCATAACTTGAACTCCTACATAATTGGAATTACCACGTTTTTTCGTTTGAACTCATTTCTTATTGTTAGTGATTCATCATCCATTACCTGTAAATTTTGTAAATTTCTTTTCTTTTACCAGTGTTTTAAAGAGGGTGTCTTGACTGTAAAGTTGAATTTGTATAGTAACATTGCCATTTCTAAAAATCCAATGCTCTTTGAAACGAGCTGCAGTTGCACAAGTTTTTTACGTGATGAACAATAAAAGTGTTAACGATCGTGCTCTACTCAGATCCACTTTATTTATTCAGTTTATCTCATAATTAATGCATTTAAAAATATCTTTAAAATAAGTTTTCGGGGCCGCTGCCCCCAAACCCCTGCTACTAAATGTGCAAACATAAAAAAATTTCTTGGGTCCGCCATTGTTTACCGTACAAGAATATCAGAGAAATTGTTCAGATAATTATACTGAACAATAGTAATAGAAAATTAACAACTAAGTCATAATTATTAAAATTTGGGGGTGTTGAAATATAATAGTAGCTTTATTGCTAATAAGCAGTGGCAGACCCCGGAATTGATATCATGGGGGCGAAAAACATCAACAATCTGGAGTCTTGTTAAGGAAGCAAATATGAAACAATTAAAAACCTGTGGAAGTCAAATGACATGCCTTTCTTTTATTAAAAGCAAAAAAACAGCTATAATAAGTAAATAATAGTTGCTCTGATTGAAATGTTATAATAAGTAAGTCCAAGAGCTATTGAAATGCTTTCTGGACATAAGCTATCTCAAACTAATTTTTCTGCTAATAGGATCCTACAAGTGACCATTCATCCATTAATGTCTATCATATAAATGCCTGCAAGCTGTTATGGTAGAATGTCGCGAAAAATCGGCAAGTGTACCGATCGTTCCAAGTAATAAAAGGGTAAGTAGAGTATCGTCTCCACGAGGATTGAGGCACCAAAATTATTTTAACTATTCCTCTCTTGTTGGATTAATAAAATTGGTTTGAGAATTATTGTAGTTGTAAAAATTGAGAACAATTCAAAGACTTGTTAATAATTCAAAGATGATTGTAAAACCTTGAGAATAAAAGATTAAATTGAGAAAATATTTAAAAGATTATTGCAGTAAAAGATGCCAACACTTTTTTGATCCCCGCCTTGCAATATTAATTAATGTTTACATTTAATTACCCATTGAAGAAACAATTCACTATCTATCAATTGATTAGTTAAGCCATAATTCCTTAGTGATCTTAACTTTATTAACCCTATTAGAATCCTAATCTCTTAGAAATTCTTTTTCAAGTTAATCCTTAAAACCAGTGAATTTTTCACGTTTGCAATTCATGTAGCCTATCCCTAGTGCGTACATGAACTGTTATTTTACCCTCTGTCAGGAACTAGAATTTCAATATTCCTATTGAAAATCCTAACCCTCGCAATCCCAAAAGAGTGATCAATTCTAGAAGAATTATATAAGATAAAGAACAGAATAAAATAAATGCAATTGGAATAATTAAATATAAAATTAACCAAACTACAAGGGGTTCACATCAAAGGTTGTGACCCTTACCACAATAATAAAAGACTAGCCAGACATGTTCATGTCTGACAATTCAATGTGTAGAAAAGAATTCATAAAAGAAACTAATAAACAATAAATTTGGAAAAGAAGCTTGCTCCGCGTTCTGCCTTCGTCAATTTCTCTCCGTGCCAAAAAAATTTCCATTAGGTTTCTGACTCCTTTTTATAGCCAATGGCTAAATCAGGTCACAATCTTCCCAAAAGATTTGATTTTTATATTTGTTTTCGTCCAAATCACAATTCAAGAAACAATCAGCACGAAGCCGCGCGATTAGCGCCAGATCCACGCTAATCGCGCAGTGAACCAGTGGGTAGCTTCTTTCTGGTGCGGTCAGCGTGAACACCGCGCCATTAGCACGAATTACAGTGGTTTCTGACCCTTCTTCCTGTCTTGTGGCGCAATCCGCGCCATCTTCATGCTAATCGCGGGAAGTAGTGGTTCGAAACCCAGCTTTCTTTCATGCTTTTCTCCTGTAAAAACATACAAACAAAGTGAAAGTGTGCCTGAAGGAAACTTATCAAGGATTCATTAAAAATGCTACTTTTTATCACTGAATTACTGTCAAATCCTTGTTCTTTTTGCCCTGAAATACCTATATACTGAAGGCACATCAAACAATTCCCAGATTTAGATATTGTTGTCCCCAGCAATAAATAAAATCAAACACTAAGCAGCAACGAAAACTCTATAAGAAGAATTCATGTCCTCAATGACATTTTTCTACATGGAAGAAATTCAAAGTTTATAATGTTTTGCATGAATGAATTCTAGTTGAAATTTTCGAAAATCACTTTTTGCATAGGGAATTAGAATCTAGCTTAATCACTACTTACCAAGATAATCACTGCACTTTCCACTCTTGTGTATAAGGTTCACTCTCAGTCCATCGGTGCAATAAGACTACCATAGGATTGATCCCATTCTCGGGTTCCTAAAGATAAGGAACTCATAAACGTGCACAATTAGATTCAAAGGTCTTTGCAAGTTGTAACTTGGCTTAAGCTAGGGTATGAATATTTGGGGAAGTGGCTAATCTTTGACTGTATATGAGATTGAAACACAACAACATTTTAGTTGTTCATACTCAGACACAATTTCACTTAGTTCTTTCCTTTCTATTCATACTTTTCTTTTTCTTCTTGACCTTTTATTCATTGTTGTTGCTTTGCAACTTTCCTTTTTGTTTCTTTTCTCTTTGGTCCCAGCTTTTGCTTTCACTATCACTTTATTTCTGTAAAATTGATCCTTGAATTTCTATAATCAGTGTTTCAATCTCATCAAAGGTGTGTTGATAGGAAAATAAGCTAAGAGTCTCATGGTTAAATTCAACAAGAAACAACAGGCTAAGGCTCAAAGGGGCTAGCAATGGAATTTTTTTTCGGTTCAGCTATTTGGCCAATGAGTTAACAAGAAAGAATTGCCTTTATGATTTCAGATCATGCATGTGTTATTGAGAAAAAGATCAAGTTCTAGAGTGTTATTACAGTGAGGTCTCTAAAAAAAAAATTACTGTATAGGCTCAAACCTCACGGTTGTGCAATCAAACTAGAATCTAAATCCCACTTAAAATCACATATCAACTGTAATTCTCAACACAAGATTCAATCATTTAAGCAATAATAACTCTTAAGACTTCAACACAGAATTCAATCGTGACTTCTCACACAGTGTCTTATATGCTCTTTAAAGTTTGATCTTCTTATTGCATGAGTAGCTAATGCAAATTCAGAGGATTTCTTCTATCACACAAAACAAAAATTAACAACAGCAATTGAGACAAAAGGGTTCAGATATCTCCCCTGATGATTCAGAACTTTTTCTGTTAGAGGTCTTTTCAGTCTGGTTCCTCTGAGCCACATGTGGGGTGCCCAATTCCCAGATTTAGAAAATTGTTGTCCCCAGCAATAAAACTAAACTAGTCGAAGAATGAGAATTTCTGCGCAGGTAACACACTCACACGGGTTAAAGCATCAATTAATCATAACTGAGAAGATAACTAAACATCATAATATCTCAATTATCTCAACACAAAATAGAAATGTAAAAACATCATCAAAATAACAAATAACGAAAGATAAATGGTAAGCAGGGGATTAGCCATCCAGCCACGACTCATCCATGTCATCCCCTCCTGCAGCCTAGGGTGTATCAGTAGGCTCTGCTGCTAGCTCAGTGGGGACTGGTAGTGTGGATATGATGAAGGGAAGTTATGGAGAAGTGGGGCGGAGGTTAGGGGAGGAAGGAGTTAGAGTGGGTAATGGGTTTGGAAATGGGCCGTTAGGGTTTTGTAAATTTCGAATTTTAAAAACCCTCCAAAATCGCCGGCGCTACTAGCGTCATCCTCACGCTAATCGCGCGGTATTACAAAATCCTCCAAAATCGCCGGCGCTACTAGCGCCAATACCACGCTGATAGCGTGGTGAGACAGGAACGAGAGAAAATTCTCACGCGGATAGCGTGATTGTCACGCGGTGAACGTGGAAATGAACTGTTTGCACTACTAGCGCCACGTTCACGCTATTAGCGTGAACTGGCAGTAAGCTCAAGGAAATACTGATTTACCTGGTGCGATTAGCGTGAGTTCATAATTCCCTCTTAAATGGATTTGCACCCAAGATGTATGTGACATCATCTTAGTGCTGTGAGTATGGACTTGTGTTGCCATTTATCTTATGACCCTAAAAATAAAATAAATGACTCAAAACTCATGGGTTGCCTCCCAAGAAGCGCTTGTTTAACTTCTCGAGCCTGACGTACCCCTTGCGATTATGGTGGTTGGAAGCACGCTATCATTGATGACCCAATCTTCTTGGTCCAGTATTGTTTCCTTCCATGATCATATGCATGTGGATGAGGATGAGGGTTCTCAGCTATAAACTTAGTCCTCACACGCTTTTCCTTACTCCTGGACTTTTTCCATCTTAACCTTTGGCTTGCTTTCTTCATGCTGCTGATGGACTTCCTTCTTTGTGGGGTTTAGTCTTCTCTGAGGTTGTCTCACAGGTTTAACATTTTCTTCCATCAGAATCTTGTGAGTACAAAAGGAAGGATTGATGCCCTTCAAATCAAATATAGACCACCCAATAGTTGTCTTGTGCTCCTTGAGCACTTTCAACAACTTCTCTTCTTCATCCATAGAAAACTCTTTATTGATGATAACATGGTACTGCTCTTCATCTCCCAAAAGGGCATATTTAAGAGTTTCATGTAACTCTTTCGATTCTATTTTTGGTGCTACTGTAACTAGATCATTTTCTTTCTTTTCTAGCACCTCAAAAACAACTTCTAGCCCTTCTTATGGAGTAGCTTCATCTTGAGCCTTCAATTCTTCTTCAAGCTCTTGATAATCATTTTTCTCTTCCATAACCACCTCTTCCAATACATCAAGTCTGAAGCAGTCATTCTGGTCAGATGAGTTCTCCATAGCATCAAACACATTGATAGTGGTTGTCCCATCATTCATCCTTAACTCGAGCTTTCCTTGTTCTAAATCAATCATAGCTCGAGCTGTGGCCAAGAACGGTCTACCCAATAGAAGAGGTATTTCACTCTCCTCCTCCATGTCCAACACAATGTAATCAGCAGGGAAGATGAACTTGTCAACTTTAACAAGGACATCCTCTATGACTCCATGAGGTTTCCTCAAGGAACGGTCAGCAAGCTATAGAGAGACCATGGTTGGCTTCAACTCAGAAATTCCCAATGACTTGCATATTGACAATGGCATCAAAGTGATGCTTGCTCCAAGATCGCAAAGTGTCTGGCCAACATTAGTGTTGCCTATCGCAATTGGAATGTTGAAACTCCTAGGATCTCGAAGCTTTGGTGAGAACTTTTTCTGTATAATAGCATTGCACTCTTCAGTAAGTGCTACTGTCTCACATTCCTGTAACCTATGCTTTCTAGACAACAAATCTTTCAAGAATTTAGCATAGTTAAGCATATTAGCTAAAGCTTCGAAAAAAGGAATATTAATATGCAACTTTTTAAACATATCTAAAAACCTGGCATACTGTTGCTTCTATGCCTGTTGCTTGAGCTTCATAGGATAAGGGGGTTTCTCAAAACGAATAATCCATCAGTTTCTTTGGAGCTTCAACAGGTTTATCCTTTGCCTCTTCTTTTTCTTGCTTTGCAGACTCTTCTTTCTTACTTGCAGGCTTTTCCACTTCTTTTTCGTGCTCCGGCTCAATAACTGATTCATCAACTTTATTTTTCGGAGCTACCTTTGGCTTGTCTTGAGGAGTAATCACAATTCCACTCCTAGTTACAATGGATTTGCAATCTGCCTTAGGATTCACGATGGTATCACTAGGAAATTGCCCTTGAGCTCTTTCAGCTAACTGTCTACAACTGACCTATCCGACTCTTCAAGTTCCGGATGGAAGCATCTTGGTTCTTGTGGTAGGCTCTTGTCTCATTTATAAAGGCATAAGTAGTTTGCATGTGATCATTAGTAGTCTTGGCAAGCCGTAACATTGCTTTCTCCAATTCTTATGGCTCTTCATGTGGCAGAGGAGGAGGTTGCAGGTAATTGTTGGATTTATAATCCAAGCCTCTCCCTTGATTTCTCCTCTGAAAGTTGCTCCCTTGGCCACCATTCTGATTCCTCTGGTAACTTTGGGTATTCTGTGGTGGCCTTGGATCATACCAAACTCTGTTCACCTGGAACGGTTCAGCTCCCATAAGTGTATGACACTCATTAGTATCATGCAGCTCCTTGCAGTACTCACAGTTAAATACATTAACTTTAGATGTTGAGATCTGCATTTTATTCAGCTTGGCGTTCTTACTGGCAAGCTGTTGAGAAATAACCTTGTGCTCAGTTAGTGACGCATCATTGTTCCCCAGTTGTAAGATTCCCTTCTTGGGTTGAACTGGCTGAACTTCCATTGAAGCATTCTCGGTTCTCGCCATGTAATCAATCAGTTCCAGAGTTTCAGTTGTTGTCTTCCTTCCTATGGTTCCACCGGCTGCACCGTTGACAACCATCCTGGAGTCGGGTGTCATCCCATTGTAGAAGACTCTGACCTTCTTGTCATCTGGGAAGTCATATTGAGGGCACTTTCTGATTAACTCCTGGAATCTAGTCCAGGATGCACACAGAGTCTCTCCCGGCTGTTGAATAAAGTTGGTGATTTCATTCACCGACTTATTGTACTTTTCCCTAGAAAAGTACTCAGCAAAGAACTTGGCTGCTAACTCGTCCCATGTTCGGATACTGTTAGGAGCTTGTCGATCTAACCATCTGAGGGTTTTCCCGGTCAAAGAAAAAGGAAGCAACCGGAGTCTGATTGCATCATCAGACACTCCTTGATGCTTAGTTGTGTCACAAATTCTCAGAAATCTGTCCATAAAGTCATGAGGATCTTCGTAGTTCTCTCCACCAAAAGGAGTCTTCTCCACCAAGGTAATCAGCGACAGATGGATGTCATAGTAGTAGGCATCTATCTGTGGCCTGACTATGCTAGAGTTCGGCCTCGTGAACATAGGAGCAAGAATTGACTCCATCAATTCTTCTGCGGGAGGTGGATCAGGGGCTGCCATCACTGGTTCTATGTTTGGCTTAGAACTCGAAGACTCTTCCTGCTTTCTTTGCTTGGCTAGCTTTCGGTTCTTCTTTGTAATTTTCTCGATTTCTGGATCAAACTATAAAGTGCCTCGATTTACTTTACCTCGCATAAACTCAAGCAAAAAGATTAGTAACAAAACAAAATCTAATCAAGAAAATCAAAAGTTATAAATAAAATTGTGTATTCAATCCCCGGCAATGGTGCCAAAAACTTGTTGCGAAAAATCGGCAAGTGTACCGATCTTTCCAAGCAATAAAAGGGTAAGTAGAGTATCGTCTCCACAAGGATTGAGGCACCGAAATTATTTTAACTACTCCTCTCTTGTTGGATTAATAAAATTGGTTTTAGAATGATTGTAGTTGTAAAAATTGAGAACAATTCAAAGACTTGTGAATAATTCAAAGATGATTGTAAAACCTTGAGAATAAAAGATTAAATTGAGAAAATATTTAAAAGATTATTGCAGTAAAAGATGCCAACACATTTTTGATCCCCGCCTTGCAATATTAATTAATGTTTACATTTAATTACCCATTGATCAAATAATTCACAATCTATCAATTGATTAGTTAAGCCTTAATTCCTTAGTGATCTTAACTTTATAACCTTATTAGAATCCTAATCCCTTAGAAATTCCTTTTCAAGTTAATCCTTAAAATCGGTGAATTTTCCACGTTTGCAATTCATGTAGCCTATCCTTGGTGCGTACATGAACTGTTATTTTATCCTCTTTGAGGAACTAGAATTTCAATATTCCTATTGAAAACCCTAACCCTCGCAATCCCAAAAGAGTGATCCATTCTAGAAGAATTATATAAGATGAAGAACGGGATAAAATAAATGCAGTTGGAATAATTAAATATAAAATTAACCAAACTACAAGTGTTCACATCTAGGGTTGTGACCCTTACCACAATAATAAAAGACTAGCCAGACATGTTCATGTCTGATAATTCAATGTGTAGAAAAGAATTCATAAAAGAAACTAATAACCAGAAAATTTGGAGAAGAAGCTTGCTCCGCGTTTTGCCTTCGTCAATTTCTCTTCGTGCCAAAAAAAATTTCATTAGGTTTCTGACTCCTTTTTATATCCAATGGCTAAATCAGGTCACAATCTTCCCAAAAGATTTGATTTTTATTTCTGTTTTCGTCCAAATCACAATTCAGGAAACAATCAGCACGAAGCCGCGCGATTAGCGCCAGATCCACGCTAATCGTGCGGTGAACCAGTGGATAGCTCTTTTCTGGCGCGGTTAGCGTGAACACCGCGCCATTAGCGCGAATTACAGTGGTTTCTGACCCTTCTTCCTGTCTTGTGGCGCGATCCCCGCCATCTTCATGCTAATCGCGGGAAATAGTGGTTCGAAACCCAGCTTTCTTTCATGCTTTTCTCCTGTAAAAACATACAAACAGAGTGAAAGTGTGCCAGAAGGAAACTTATCAAGGATTCATTAAAAATGCTACTTTTTATCACTGAATTACTGTCAAATCCTTGTTCTTTTTTCCCTGAAATACCTATATGCTGAAGGCACATCATAGAACATTGACGAGTCAGTAAACTAAAAATGCGATTTAGTTTGAAATAAATAAGTCATACATCGTATTAGGAGACAAATAACAACATACAACAAAATCAAATTATATAATTCCAATAATCTTGTCACAACATTCACACAAATATATGTCTGCAATCTACTATAGTAGAACAGTAATGAATGAGGAAACATTAATTACTATTTAGTTTGAAATAAAGGCATACACTAAAGAGACAGAGAAAGCATGCAACCAAATTAAATAATTCCAAAATCTTAACAAAGGATTAGTGCAAAACTCATTTTCATTATACGAAAACTGGCCTAGAGAAACTAGGAAGGTATTCAAGAATGTAGCAGAGACACTATGGTTCATAAACAATTTTAAGCAGTTCTCAAAGATTGAGTTTATAATACCTTTCCAAGATAAAGACATAAGGCAACTCTTTCCAACACTCCACCAGAAAGATTCACAACTTCTTGGTCCATTAATCGTTCAATAAGAAGTATCTTCATCACTTCAGATATGAATTAGGAATGAGTATATCCATCGCGTATTTTTTTATGTAGCAAATGTCTAACAGTCGATTGGAACTTGGGGCTAATCGTATGAGGCTTGTATGAAACATTAAACTCAGACATCTCCACATTAGATCTACCTTCTATGGTGTTAGGTTTCAATAAGTCATCCTGAATAGTATGGAGTAAGGTGAATAGATACATGGAAGAGAAGAAATAATCAGTTCCATAAAGAAATAAATATGACTGAAGAATACCAGCATTCGAATAATTGTTGTCTTTCCAGCCCTATTCCAACCTAGCATCACAATAATTTGAGAATCAATAAATTCTTCTTCACCATCCAAGCGCACTGCCCTTCTTCCAATTGCATAAAAAAAAATTCTTCAAATTTTGGTGGTTGGAGGCAGGGGCACTCTAGCCCCCAAGATCCGCAATAAGCCACACATTCCTTTCAAGTTTTGTCCCTTTCATGATGAACAAACCCATAGGGCAATATCTCGAAAAAAGTATTAATGGCCCAATTAATGATACATTATTCACATATAATATAGTCCGTAGCTTCAGTTCTACCTTATATTGAAAATGAAATTAGGAGAACTCAAATAAGCAGATTCTTCGGAAAACTATACATCAATTTAGTGGACTTCGCAAGGAAATAAGAGTTTGATAATATTTTTTCCATCGTAATTTTGATATAAACATGCGCACAAAAAAAGCTATATTATATACTACGATTTTACTTCTTACTTATCTAATTCCAAAATTGATCGTCATGTTAACTATGTCTCTATTTTCAACATTCAAGAGATGCATCATCATATATATATATATATATATATATATATATATATATATATATATATATACACCTAAAACTTTTTCGCAAACTATAATCCAAGTGAATAATTTAACATGACTCAAATAACGCATAGTTAGAAACTCAATCTAAGACATGACGGGAAATGTTATACCACAAAGTATAATGTTTTGTATAGTTGCACATCAAGCAGTTAAAAATATATTTTATTCATTGGTGGATCTTAGAGAAAAAAAATTAGGGTGACAAACCAATAATACACTTTATATTTATTTGTGAACTTTTCATTTATATTACATTTTAAGTAATTAACTAGCATAAATTGTTTCATGTTTGCTCTCAATCATCATATTTTAAAAATTCAAACATAAAATTTTCAGTAAGAGAAAAATTCAACAACTTAATAACAAAATTTTGTCACAAAAAAAATAAAAATCACTAACTATATTACTAGTAAAAAGTAACAACTATATATGTGTGTGTGAATAAAAATTGTACCTATAACAATTTCAGTAATACAAAAATGTTGATTATACTAGTTGTAACGCCCCATTCTAGAACTGGTTTGTTTACATCACATGTGATATTAAGCGCAATTACAATCACAGCAATTGATTAAAACACGAATAAATTTTTCTCTTTTAAAAACATGTTATTTTCTGATTAAAACACTTTTCGTATTTATAAGCAATTCAAACTGTAATTATAACTCATGCAAATTGCAGAAATAACTAATCTCGCTTAAACATTGCCTAAACAAGACGAAAAGAGCTCCATTTATTTTTTGGACATCTAGGGATAATTCTCACCTGATATCTCAACCTAATAAACAGTTCAATAAATATTGACATCATGTTAGTCTATCCAATAGGCGTACAAGCCCTTCCATTATAATTATATCAAAATACATAAATGTCCACAGACTACATAAATGGAAACTTAACTAATACAAAACATACGATCAAAGTCATTTACATGTATCAACAACATGCAAGATATCCAATAACTATGATCATAGGTTAAGTCCTTCCTCTATGCATTGACAGTACATATGCTCAAATAAGACTACATAAACATATGATGCTACAGTGATCCAAAATAACATGCTATATGCTAGTCCCTAATATACAAAACATAAACAACAATGATAGTCATGTCAATCTATTGTGGCCTCCTGCCAATAGACGCTCCAACACCCTCAATGTCTGTCCCTGAAAAGGGGTCCCCACAACACGAGGTGAGATAAACATCTCAGTAAACCAAGGGTCCTTGGAGGATTCCTCCACCCCCAAAGTTCACTTTAAGTGTAATAGCAATAATAGTAAATAATACAAAGGATCTCCATGCAGTGTGTAAAGCATCTCCATAAGACATCCTTCTGGCACTCTTGTCATCCTAACGATTCTCATATGCAAATAGTCTTACTGGCCAGCTAAACTACCAAGTATGAATTATGCATCGTCATGCAACATACAAAACATAGGAAAACACAATCATATGTCACACCCAGTGCATACACATATATATATATATATATATATATATATATATATATATATATCAATGCATTAAACTACTCTATTGCAATTAATACACCAATAATAATACTACCCCATCAGGGTTTGGTGGAACAATAAAGGGATAAATCCCAAGGTCCGAAGGCTTACCTGTAATGCTCCAACCAATTCTCTCTTTCACAACCAAAGGAAGTCAACGCTAATTCTTTACTTTATATCCAAAAGCAACAACAAAACAGTTTGCTATGAACAATACCTATTCACAAGGCAAGTTTGCCATCAATCAATTCAAACACATGAATATATCAATATTCATCACAACATAGGCAATTCTAACCAATCACAAGGTCATTAAGCTTACCTACATTTGAATTATTCAAGTATCCAAGCAAAGATCCATTGGCTCCTCCAATGTTTGATCTTTCAATGTAGGTCCACTTACTTCAATCCTCTCAACATAATGGACACTATCAATTTCCGATTCCAACATTCCAACATTCATTACTTGGAATGCAAGAAAACTCCACGCTCTAAGCAACTTTGGCTTTTACTTCACTTGATTTCATGGAGAAATGAGGAAGTTACAATTTGAAGCTTTTTGGCCATGGTGGTTTGGGTGAGGCAGAGACAACACGAGGGAGATGAGAGAAAATGAGTTTAAATGAATTGTAACATCTAACGTTGTAAAGACTTATCTACCTCGTTCACTTAACTCTCTTCTAAACTGGTCATATTGGCTTAGAATAATTTTGCAGTAATATTCTCCAACTTATTTTTAAATTTCGAGTAACTTTGTCGTCACACACTTTTACCCCAAAACTCTCATTAATTGTACTTTTTCTCCAAAAGTGGCTTTTATCCATTTACTTAAGTCTTTTACTTAATTAAACTCAATGAGACATGATTAAATATTTAATCACATGCAATTTCATAAATATACAAGTTAGGGTTATTATACTAATATCTACTACAATGAGGAAAAATCACTCTCACGCACACATATTTCAATATTATTTTATTTTATAATCCAAGAAAATTTATATAGAAAATTTATATTTTATTGGTCAGGTTATATTTATAGAATGGTTTTGTTACACTTGGGTTTAAAAATATCGTTATAGACAAGATTATGAATCATTGACATTTTGAAATAAAAAATAAGAGAAAGAAAATAAGTGAGATTTGGATGATAATGATGCTGATTATAAGAAATTTCTGTATAAAAGTTATATTATGTATTCACATATATATAATAGCACTTTTAGATGCATAATTTTGGCACAGAAAGGAGTCAATCATTAACGAATTATGAGATTTGATAATTGAAAAGAAATGCCGGCCGGTGCTTACTCTTCCACGTTAAGAAAGCAATATACATTTGAAGTCTGCACCTGTACACGTATTATGATTCTGAAGTATGAAGTTTGGTTTCCTTTTATTTATAGATTAAGGTAGTTGTATCATGTATGCTTCTCCTTATATCAATTTCATCTTTTAAAAATTTATGGCATTAAATTTGCGTTTTAAAATTTTAAATAAATATTAAAATAGTATAAATTAATTTTTTGAAGTGATATTAATTAATACAGCTTTCTGCCGTAAAGATCATTTTAGTGTAATTTTAAAGAGTTCGCTTTTTCTGCCGTTACTGCAGATAAGTTATCTGCAGTAAGTCTAACACGACATCGTTTTAGGACCAAAATCATGGTGTTTTTGTAATTTTAATTTATTTCAGGGTTATTATAGTCTTTATAATTATAATTATTTAATTTTTAATTTCAAAACGACGTCGTTTTGGAAGTAAATGCAGATATATCTGCAGTAACTACAGATATATTATTCTGAATTTTAAATCTTTAGAAGATTAATTTAATATCATAAACCTTTAAGAGATGAAATTAATTTCAAATGATATGAAAATGATAGTTTAGTCTTATTTATATATTTATTAATTAAATATTATATTTACTTCTATATCGTTGCCGAAATGTGATTCATTATACATTATTTTTCAGCCTGAAATCTGAAGGTCGGAAAGAAAACACATGGACTAAAAGATGCGAGTATAAAATAATGAAAAAGAAATAATTGTATAATTTGATTTGTACGGTTTAGAAGAATTAAGAAATACTAAAGCTCTAACCCAATTCAACCTTCTGGAGAAAAGTTTGGTGGGCAACTAACTGTTTGTTTAATGGTTGTCTAATAAACTTGGAGAAATAATCACTTAGCATCCATTGCCCAAGATTTTGAACAAAATAAATACAAGGTTTCTCTCTTAAAATTTTCTTTTTTTCATAAAAATAAATGTTAAAAAGACAAAATTAAAATATATTCTATTATTTTTAACTGTAAAATATATACCCTTATAATATAAAGATTATTCATTCTGGTCTCTAACTTTTATTTTTAGAACATTTAAAAATTTTAAAATAAATAATGAAGAGAAAATCATAAATATTTCATATTCCTGTTAAAATTACTTTCAAACACAATTTAACTTCTACATACATATAGCTAATAGTTATAATTCTATTCAAGTGTTTTTCATTATTATTACTTGTTTATGCCCAATTACAACTTCCTTCAAAAGATTCATAATTTCTTACTATATAGTTATATTTCATTTCAAATGCTTTCTATCATTATTCATTTTTTAACTTGAGAAAAATAAAAAACATGATTTAACAAATAGGTAAGAGACAATTGAGAGAATAGAGAAAATTAACATGATTTAATACTGAAATAGAATAGAGAAAATTAAGAGACACTCTGTTATTGGTGACTGTACACAGGATGGAATGCCCCAATATACTCATCTAAGTAAAAAAGGATGCTTAGAAACAATAAGACTTCATCTTTCTTGAAGCAAGCTTCTCATCTAGAGCCTGATGCCAACATTACCACACACCAACCAAGAACTATAGTGAAAACTGCTATAGATAGATGAATGGCAAGAAAAAATTAGCCTTTCACCTGACTTTGGCTAGTGTTTATGTATCCTTCAATCTCATACTTATGGTAGACTGTGCCTTGATTCTCTTCCCACCATCTTTCAGCTTCCTTCTGTGAGAATCTCCTCCGGCTACAAACCACACATGCCATGAAGATTCAGACAACATATCATGCAAAGTTATCAAATGCGGATTGCGGCATGCCGCGGCCAACCCGAAAAACACTATAGCGCTATAGCGGGTTGCGGTTGCGGAAATAGCAGAATAAATATATGATAGAAATGATGACAAAAGGAAATATTTTTTTAAAGGCAGAGATAACAAAAGTAACGAAGAGTGATACAGATAGACTAAAAAATCCTTAAAATTTTTTTGTTAAATATTTAAATTTAGGACAAAATTGACATTTTGCCTTATGACAGCAATATGGCTGTGATTTGGCTGCAAATGTGATCACAATAGCCGCTATTGCGTTCCGGTGCAACGCGGCGCGGTTTCTTGCGGCGCAGCACCGCAACGCTCATACGGCGCAGCTTGCGACGCTATTGCGGTGCAATTAACTACTATGATATCATGTAAGAAAGTAGGGTGCATTATTATATCAAAATATCATGATAAAAAGGAGTAGAACAAAGCACAACATATTATATCAAAATACCTATGAAATGTTTATAAACTAGAGTAATTACACAGGATGAAGAGCAAAACAGTAACATTTAAAAGAATAGACATTACCTAAATCTCACTCGCTTAAGGCCCTTTTTACCACATGGCAAGGTTGTAAATGTGATGTAAACACCAGGCTCATACTGTTCTACACATTCGGCTTTCAAGCCTTCGTTGGTCTCTTGTTGAGATTCTGATCTAGTGGCATTAGAATTCTCCAATAATCTATCACTTTTGAGTAACATACTTCTCCCAAATTTGGATTTTAATGTGTCAGAGAATACTATAGGGGAATTGGAAAGACTGTCCATGTTGCCATCTCTTGGACTATTGATATCTGTATGTATGGGTGCCAAATTTGGCAGACTTTCATGTATCCCAACCTTTCCTTCTTGTCCAGCATTCTCTTTTCCAGATATTGTATGAAGCTGAAATGAGAAAAGCTATATCAATTACTGTATACAAGGAATGTAAGGCCAAATTATATAAAGACTCAATAATTAAAGTAACATATCATATATCCTGCAGAAATTTCATATTCTTATTTTAGTACTATTATGTTATGTATAGTCCATTATAGGGCAATGGGGGCATTATTAACTTCACTGTAGACCTACAAAACTGATAGTTCAAGTAGTGTAATTTTAGGAGACCTTTGACCAAACGGTGCTAGAAGTTTTAATGATGATTTAATTATCTGATATGTACCTTTCAGGAGAGCCTTTTTTACTATGAATTCTAATTTTAGAAGAGCTGGTTCTGAAACTAGAAACTCGTATGTGCTACAATTGATATAGTAACACCATAGCTTCAACCATCATTTCTTTGTTATCTCTTCTGATGCCTTAAGCTTATAACATACAAATTCAAAATCAACGAGGATGTTGAAAATTCTAGCATTCCAACTAAAATCCAAATTAAAATAGTAATAATAATAATAATAATAATAATACAGAACTTACCCTTAATGCCAAAGCTTTTATGACCTCTTTTGCTGCCTTGCACTTAGCAGCTTCCTCCCTTGCCACAAACCAACTCTCCTCAACTTTTTGTTGACATTCTTGTATTTTGTGGTTTTTGAGCTCACACTGCTCTTCAAGTCTCCTAGCCTATCCAAAGACATAAAACAACATATTTGCGGTCAAAATAAGGATACTGATTTTTGTGGTGAATTATGAATGAATTTTCATTCAAAAAACTCAGCAGTAAAAGTAACTCGTTTTCACAATTTTTACATATGCATGTCCATCATTACAACAGATACCTACTAAAACTAAAGCAATTTAAGGGTAACAGAAAGGGAAGTCAATACCTCAGCTCTCAGCCTCATAACTTCTTCTAAAAGCATCTTATCAGACTTTGTTGTATCTGTCTCTGCATTGGGGGAATTGTGTACTGTGGATTCTATATTCAGTGGTGAAACAGTAGCTAATTTATTTTTGGATGACGAAACATGCACAACTGAATTTTCTGTACAGTTGATTTTAAATAGGGCAGGACATGGAACTTGCCCCCATTGTGGAACTCCACCTAACATAGAAGAACTATCTTCTAAACCATGCTGGCTTTCTTGTTGGTTTTTCCAGTCCTTCCTTCCACTAGGCATGCTTTTCCTGTAACATGATTGACTGAGAGACAATAGAGGACCCTGTGTCACAGTTGTTTCACCCCTATCTTCAGTCAAATCAGAAATTTTTTTCTGATGCTTCACTATCTGCTGAGTATTGTAACTTTTGGACTTTGAACCCATCACTGAATGTGTACTTCCTTGCCGTTTATCAAAGCACTGATCACAAACCCGAAAGGCCTTACTCTTACTTGGGGCTAGAGATGCATTTATAACCTTTTTACTACTACAAGAACGGCAGAACAAAAGACCACAGTTATAACAATGATGCTTCTTCCTTGTGAACCCAAATGGCAACCTACAACCACTACAAGTTGATTGGTCACTAATAGAAATAGGTTTGTGTAAACATACTGCAGCTGTGAAGCTTGGTCCACAAGTTATAGTATCTACCTGTCTGTCCCTTAGAGTCTCAACAAAAGAAGGTGTGTATCTGTCTTCAGTATCACCTAGCCCCAGTTGTCCATTTTCACCTTTGCCCCATGTATACACACTCCTTGTAGAAGTCAAAACAGCAACATGATATGAACCACATGATATCGCTTTAACAAACTCTTGTTTAAGCTGTCCTTCAACCATAACTGCTGCTTTATCCCTAGCATGTGGATTTCCCAATTGTCCATATTTTGCACTTCCCATTGCAAAGACCTTACCCATAGTAGTAAGTGCTACAGTCAACATTCTTCCACAAGATACTTGAACAAAATCATAGTCAACAAGTTGTGAAACACATGTTGGTACAAGCTTGCTTCCATTATCAGCATGACCAAGCCTCCCTTCATCTCCATCACCCCATGTAAACAGCTTACCACTAGTAGTACTGTACCTATAACGGTCACACATGACATCGACAATAGCAGCTGTATGCCATGAACCACAAGCAACAGACCTCACCCTTAGACCTTTAAGAGATTCAACTTCTTTTGGTTTAGAAGAGCTCCGAACATCCCCATGACCAAGAACTCCAAATGTACCATCTCCATATGTAAATAACCGACCACAGCTAGAGACAATTGCAGTGTGCCATTCACCACAAGTAACACTTGAAATACTAATACCATCTAAAGGTCCAGAAAGTTTATGTGGTATCCATTGACTTCTAATTCTCCCTTCATCAACAAAATCTGCACAACAAACATCATTCCCCCATGTATATACTTCACCAGAATCTGACAAACCACATGTATGATACTCACCACAGGCAACTTGTTTTATTTGAATACCGTTAAGAGATTCAACTATTTTGGGGGAACTAATGTCCATATCAATTTTTTGCCCCAGTCTTCCCCACTTCCCTTGACCCCAACAAAACACTTCCCCTTGTTTTGTAACTAAGGCAGCATGTTTTCCTCCTAAAGCTATATTTTGTACATCTAACATCATAGTGGATTCTAGTAACTTTGGCACCAAGGAATAAACACCACGTTGGACAAACCTTTCATTCACAATCCCTACCAGACATCCAATCCCTCCACCCCATACCATTACATCCTTCAACACATTGTTATTTCCTACACGTGGGGAGGTTGGAGGCATCAGAGACCTACAGGATAAATCCTTCTTGTACTCCTTGTCAATGTGTGTTGATTCAATCTTGCTAACAATATCTGGATCAATATATGGAGAACTTGGGACTGAATTATCTATTATTCCATTAATGCTGGAGGGAAAAGATGCTGATGAACAAAAGTTATCAGATGTACATGACAAGCCGTCAGAAAAGCACCTTTCTGAAAGTGACAAAGAAGGACTTGCACATACGCTATGTACCTTCAAAATAATAACAAAAGGTAGAAGTTACATTTTATGTCAGAGACAAGTAATTATTTTGATTTTTTTTTCTTTTTTGAAGAGAAAGTAAGATCTACGTGATTTATATTAACAAGGAAAAGAAAAAATAATCCAAGCAAACTACTTCTAATCTAAGAGTTATATGATTGCATTTCAGTAGTATTCAATAATATTAACTTTGGCACATCCAGTGACTGAGCCATTGTGAATGTACACTTTCCCACTTTGATTCACAAGCACCATAGAAAATATTCAAAAGTCAAAATCTCCTGACACAAGAAATTCATAGGAATCTCTGAGCCCAAGAATGCTATTGCAGAAAGGACTTTCTTTGAGTAATCTGAATATAATTAAAAACTCTTCTCTCTTACATAATAATACTGAACCTACAGCATTCTTCGTTTATCTTGAGTGATAAGTTGTACTATTGTCTAATCTATTTACCCCAGAAAACAAAAATTTATATCATTTGAAGAGTAATGATGTCGAGTTTTCTTCTATCATCGAGGAGTGAAAATTTTGATCTTAAAATTAAGAATCTAAATATAAAAGAAAAGGATAAAGTCATTTTATTGCTTCTCCTTTTCCCTGATGTGCATGAACATGGAACCTACTGAAAACTATACTAGTCACCATGACCATGATTTCTTCAATAAAATAGATCAAGTCTCTCTTGAAGCTGAATATTCTGAAATATCAATATACATATTATTGGCTTTCATTATCAATTCTTTTACTTGTTGCTTTCATAATCATATTCATATTATTTGGCTTTTCCCACCCTTCAGAACAGAGAGAAATTGATAATAAAACAAGCTGATAAACCTAATTATAAAACAGAGGTGAAAGAAACATTGTCACTGTTTCAATAAATGAAAAACCTTAAAATTTATTGTATATTGAACAATAACCACAAAAAATATCATAGTTTTATTATCAACCTCATTATACATATAAGATAACTACAGAAGATTTCTCACTCATTATATATAGAAAAAGTAACAACACAGAAGATGTATCAATATGAAACCTGAGTAAACTGAGAGGTATCATCTAGAAGGCCAAGATTTTTCTTTCTCCGCAAAATTCCAGCTGGACTACTAACACAACTCTGCACCCCTTTGCAGCTTCTTAAACTACTCAAAGCTCTAGGATGCTGGCACCTAGAAATCACAGCTCTTAAGCCAACTAACCAAGTAGCAGCTTGTGCTTTGTCCTTGCATATCTATAGTAACAATAAATAAATAATTCAAGCTATAGATATAGGAAAACAAATGAAATTACATGTCACATGTAAATCACAAATATTACCAGATCAATAGAGCGTTCACCATTAGCATAGATTAGTGAAAATGAATGGCATTCTTTTTCAGGTTCATTTTGCTTCTGAGACCTTATCTGAAAATAGTAAGCCATTTATTAGACCAAAACATTATTTTTACTCTTTTTCATTTCTCTTTCAAACCATCAAGCGAGGCATGATGTTTGTTACATACATTTCCTTGCCCTTGAATAATTTTTGTAACTGCACTCAATCGCAAATGCTTTTCCTGCTGCCCTGAGTACCAAATCAAATTTCTCTCATCCTAGAATCAGGGGAAAAGAAGACATAGTTTAGTAACTGTATAATAATGTAATGAAGAAAATAAGACAAATGAAATGAAATTTCATACACAGGGATGTTTACCATTTCATGCAACAATATATTTTAGTGGACAATACAGTTAAAATTAAAATTAACACTTAAAAGCACAACAATAAAAAACTACAAGTCAAATTTTCAAAAATCGGTATTCAATAGACTTTAGTACTCCATTAAAGACAAACCCCTCAAAGGTGGGCACAGTTGGCTAAGGGTTTGGTCCATACCCCTCAAGGGTTCAAACCCCGTTGGCCGATGTGAGGACTTTGTTGGTAGGTGATATGTAATTCCTCCCAAAAATCCTCAAAGAAGTTAGGCGATTTTCCCTGACCCTAGTGGGATACCGGTGTCTAACCCCACTTAAACTTTCTTGTATTAAAAAAAAAAAAAAGACAAACCCACACCTTTTGAGGGAATAACAAATAATTTCCAAACAACATTGTTTGGAAATCCACAGATATGGTGCTTCTAAATTTAACTTTCATATAACAAAATTGAAGAACAAAATGTACTAAGAAATAAGTTCCATAAGCAGGTTCCATAGTCATAGGGAGAGGTCAGAAGAACTTCTCAAAATAATTTGCCATCTCATTGGTACCCACCGGAGAAAGTCTGAAAGGGCAGAGCTTTGGCTTTCCTCTACGACCAGACTTAAGTAAATATGCACCTTTCTTTATAGACACAATTGCCTGAACAGAAACACAAAACAATGTTTAAGATGTGGAGAAAGAACAACCTTTTCTCTTAAAAGGTAAACAAACAATAGAAAAGATTGCACAAAGGAAATACCAAACTAAATCAAAATATCAGTCACATTGCCAATTTCAGAACAAATACTAAAAGTCTAGCTTTCAAACTGATCCACATAATAACAACCATACCCAAATTTGTGTTTGTCTATCATCATTATAGGAATGTGTGCATATTTAAAAGAAAATAAGCAGAGAGTAACAAAAATTAAGAGCATAAACACATTAAAATGAGTCCAGGGATTCTTATGGTATAAGAAAATTACTTCAATCCAAAAGAAGATGCATTCCAGCCTAACTAGTATTCAGACTAAAAATTTGATTTTTAGACCCAAACACACAACTGATCCCTCATATGCTTGTCTGGTTTTTTGAGAACAAATAATTTCAACTAAAAAGAACTCACTCCTTTGTTTTGTTTTGTTTTCTTTGACAGAGAGAATGCAACAATTAAATATCACTAGCACTAGATGAATGAGGAAGAGGAGCTGTGTGTTAAAAAATCAAAAAATTGAAGGAGAACTGATATCAATAAACAGGTAATATACATCGTATATTCAACCCCTTTCATTGTCAAAAATGAATGAATAATTCACAAAGAAGGTACATAAAGCTCATAAGGGAAAAAAAAATCAAAATTTTGAATTAAAACCACTGATTACCTTTCAAATTTTAGACCCCCATTACAGTTTATGCATATTGCAGAAGAAAATATACTACAATCATAAGAAAGAATGAACTTCATTGGCAATGAAACCAACGATTTCATTTCAGAACAACACCAATTTGAAATTTTGGAAACATCAGAAGAAAAAAAGCTGAGAACATGACAACACTAGAAGACCATGATTTTGAAATCGTGTCAAAAGAAAGAGAAGGTGAAGAAGGAACATAATTGGTATAAAAAAATTCAAATACAAAATAGCAAAAACTGTGTACCTGTTCAACAGTTCTGTCAAATGGGACTTGTGTCAAGGACTCTTCTCCCATTGTCATGTTGTAGTTTCATGGAAGAGAGAAAATGGCAGACAAGTGAAACAGAAGGGTAGTCCTTGGTTATCCCAACAAGTGGAACCTTATCATTAACAGCAAAATGATTGATGAGAGGTAAGAATACAGAGAAAGATTCTCTCTCTATTTCTCTCTCTCTTTGAAGTGTCTGAACAGAAGAACACAAGAAACAGCTTGGACAGTGTGGAAGAGAGGACTTCTCTTCCCTTTTATGGGTTCACTTTGTTTGTTAAGTTATTGGTGAATCTGTTTCCTTCTTCCATTCACTTCGTAGGTTGTGCATTTTGCACAAAAGAGAGAGAGAAAGAAAGAGAAACATAAACTCATATGCACGTGTACACCAACATCACATGCTATTTGCTCTTTTTGCGACTTAAAAGAAAAGATTATTACCACATGCTCTTATTGTCCTTTCCCTCATTGCCATTTTCTTTTGCTGCTTACTTTTTCCACCTATTTATTATCAATATTAATACATAATTATGTAATAGCAGAAGAACGTGCCATTTAGGTTAATTTCCCAGTTGTCTTTCTCATAAATCTAGGGATCAAAGCGTAATTACAGGAGCTCATTTTTTGTGCCACAAATGGATAGTATTTTAAATTTTTTTAATGTCAATTAGTACTAATCATGTGCTGCCAAACTTAGTCAAATTCATTTTAGCCTTGATTTAATTTTTTACCATAAAAGAGAACAACTGCCAGATTAATGTTTCCAAACAAGAATTAAAAGGAGAAATTATTAACGGTTGACTAATTGACCAATCAGTGATTATTTAGATATTTTTGTAAAATATAGTTTTTTAAGTAAAATGTTGTTCAAATATTATATATCTATTAATTATATGTATGACAAGTACAAAAAAAATAGTGTAGAAGAAAATATTAATGAAATATTTTAGTTATGAACTGTAGACATGGTAGCATAGCATGATCCTGAAGGACAAATTTCTAAAGATAGAGGGAGAAGGTAGTTTGCCAGTAATAGGATGCAATGGAAAATGGTAGATAGCTGAGGAAGGGATCTGTATCAGTTATTTCCATTTGCTTCCAAAGTTAGGTTCACTAAAGTCATATTAACTCTGCCATTTTGTCTAACATGTAGGTCCCATGGACAGTTCATCTTGACCTTTTAGGGTTTTCTTTTTCTCTTTTGTTTATTTTCATATTTGAATCCTGTGCTATGTCCTTTCCAAATTTCCATCAAGATAACAGTATATCTTACTAGTGCTTCAGGCCAAAAAGGGGGTGCTGCTATTTTTTTTTATTATTATTCTCAATTCTTTCTATATCAACATATTCACCTTACAGATTCTCTTTTTTATTTTCTTACATGTTTCCTGGACATTGATCCTCTTTCTCAGTGAACTATTTCTCATTGTCATGTCCTTAAGCACGAGTGCATTTTTAGTGCATCGGTTGTGCATGAGAATTTTACTAAAAAAATTATATATGGATTAAAAAAAAATTCACTCTTCCTTATCCAACTAACACATTCTCTTTCCGACTTTGATTGGCTAACTCGGTGGGATGGAGTATCTTAAAAATTTCCCTTCAGCAAACATAGCATTTTTTTTAAATATATATATATATATATATATGTGTGGCAGAATTTTTTTATATCAGTGTAAGAATAATAAATTTCATACTCAATCTTAATATTTGATTTTCAATATTTGACAATAATAATTTATTAAAAATTAATAATTAATTAATAAAAATAATCCAATTAATTACAATCGTTTGATGAACGAAAATAAATGGTTAAGATTAAGTATAAGATTTATTACTCACACACACATATATATATAAGGCATGATCGTTTGACACCGGTGTCAAACTTTAAAATTTGATACTAAATTCTAATTGTTGATTTTCGTCAATTAACAGTTATCATTTATTGGAAATATTTATGGTAATCGTTAATTACGAAAATCAATGGTTAGGATTTGGTGTCAAATTTTAAAATTTGACACCGCTATCAAAGAATCTCTATATATATATTGGGAAAATAGTATATTATTTTAAAGGCTGTAAAGTTGTGTCATTTTAAGTGAGAGAAAAAAATAGATCATGGGAGAAAGAGAGTGGACAATAAAAAAATAACATGTGGACATCATTTCTTTACGAGAGTGAAATAATAAAACTTGTATCATTTAAAAAGGATAACTATTTATGTACCCAAAAAAAATTCCCATATATATTTTCTATTATATGCCTTTTTTTTCCTTTCTTATTTTTGGAGTCTCATTAGATGCCACTACATCTTACATATGGAATATATATGAATGATTCATTCACAGGGTCAACCTGTCCCTTTTTCAAACCAAAATGATAGATCACTGTGGTCAGTCAATGCCATAGTGTATTCTATTCATTGGTTACTAATCAATATTTAAAGGAAAATGTTGTATATAATATTATTGATTTATAAAGCAGCCAATTATTTTGTAACGGTTGCTTATTTACTTTTTGCCAACTAATAATTCACTTATCAGAAGAAGAAAAGAGTAATAATTCACTCTACACGATGTTGATGTGGGCAATACTAGCTAAATAATGTAAATATTGTTCACTAATTGCACACCAATTAAAAAAAAAACCAACTAATTTTCGCCATTAATGGTATTAAATTGAATGCTCTACTCAAATTTTTACCATTAGTGGTATATAAATTGAATCCTCTAACTCTTGCCATTAATGTATATAAATTGAATGTACCACAATTTTTTTAATTATTCTATGACCTTTTTTTTTTTTTGCCTAATCAATTTCTCCAAGTATTCCCATGATCTGGGCAGAAAAAAAGGCCGTAAAAATATGGGACTAATTTTAAATCAAGTGATGTAGTAATTATCTTGTTCCTACCCTAAAAGTTCTTGAGGATTCAAACCCTACTCTTTTGACATTTCATCCGTACTCATATTATTATATTAAAATATATTGCATAAGGATACAATAACATATATATCCATGTACAATGGTAGAGCAAGATAGGGGCTAGCGGGGCATTAATCTCCTTTAAATTTATATAAACCTTTAGAAGTGAATATTATTTCTAATTTTTTGATTATATATCTAATGCTCACTCCCTTCAAAATCTAGAGAAACCTATTAGGTGTAAGCACCATTTCTATTTGTTTTGTCATATTAATAGTTGTAATTTTAAAGAAAAAATTTACATTAAATTTTGACCCCATTCAAAAAAAATTTCTCTCCGCCATTATCCATATGTAGTATATTTGATGTTTATTTTGAATGATTATGATATTCACACCCTCTACAGGATATGTCCTAACTTTCTAATAATTTGTTCAGGGTTTTAAAATTAACTAATGAGTTTTAGTTTTTGTTCTTACTTTCAGGTAATTCAACCAATTGTAATCTTGCTTGAGTGAAAAAGAATAATAATTCTATTGTTTACATATAAAACAAAACATTAATTGTTGCTCCCCATAAGCAAGTAAAGGAAAAGAGTTACTTGTGGGTGCACGTTAGCTTGACCTTCTCCATGCATGTATCCTCTAAAATTCTCTGTTTTAGCCACCATATTAACTTAGTTGGGGTGCAGCCTATCAACCTATACTAACTCTCGAAGCAAATGCATATGGCCTTGTTAATACATAATACCATTCTTTTGCCAAAAGAAAGGTAGAATATAAATTGCTTGAATGGCTATGGTATCTTCTTGGTAGAGGGTAGGCAGCTGGAGGAAAGAGATTTTGGTGTTTTCTAAGCAATGAATTAACTAATAACGCCCATAGCAAATCATGCGTAGATCAATATTGTGACAGAGAATTTTTCTCTTCTACACATATATCGATTTTTGTGTTATTTTTTTATTTTCTTTTTCTTTTTCTATAGTGGGTGGATCCCACATATGACGATTTCTATTGCATGAGAGAGTTCTCTACTATTGCATGAGATTAACAAAGCCCTATAATATATGCATGTTTTCCTATGTTATTAATAATGGAAAAAAGATGTGTCATTTTAAATGACATACTTTATATCATTTTACTCTCACAAAAAGATAGAATCTACATCTTTAAAACTTTTTTTTCTTATTCTCTCTTTTATTATTTATCTTATTTTTTATTTAAAATGATACAATTTTATGTTCTTTAAAATTATACACATTTTTCTTATTATAATATATGGTTAACCGACATTTCTGCGCATGGTCATTTTCAACCCTCCTTTTCAAAGAAAACGGCGGAACTACTTTGATTTTAGTTTCAGCATTCTTGAAATTGATAAAATACTCACTTCTTTTCACTTGTAAAGATTGTTTAAATACAATTATATTTATTTTAACGTTTTGTTTGAAATTGTGAAAAATATACTTACGCCTTAAATATCAAGTGTGCTGTTAATCAATGTCTTAATAAGATAGTTCGAGAAGTATTTAAATATCCTTTATTATTATTAAATATTATATAATGAATAAATCATTCGAATTATAAATAAATATATTATATTTGTTATTAAATACTTCTACTTTTTTGTTTAGTATTTTTATTTTATTGTTTCTATTAGTGCATGAAAATACTCGTTATCAAATGTCATATATTAATAACACAAACTTTTGATATAATTGATCTTCTTCTTTTTTATGTAACTGAGGTACAGCATTTTACTGGTATAACAATAGCTTCATGTGGAATCAAACACAATAAGCATTGAGTCCTAGAGACGTGGCACTCTTACCAAAATCTGACATGTAATTGGCTGACTCCTTCTAGGGTTGAATAGAATTAAATTTATTTAAACAGCGAACTTTAAAGTTCACCTGAAATTGCGGTGGATTTTTATTATAAATTTAGGGGTAAAAATGGGCTGACACAACTAAGTTTTGGTTTTAATAAGTCAAGTATATATAAAAGGAAAAATATATTATAACAACTAACAAGTGTTACTATTAATGTTACTATCAATTAATATTATCGTTAGATTGGTTATATTGATCCAACGGTTATATTTAT